AAAATTCATGTTGATTTAGCCCTTTGTTTGACTTCATCGTCTTCCTCCGCCTTCGCGCCGCCGTAAGACGCCGCCTCGGCCGTAACAGCAACCGCCGTGGTGTTCGTCGCAAAGGCTCGTTTCTCTCCTCTTTCTGGTAAAATCAATTTATCTCTTCTCTCTCGTTGAAGATTCGGTTTTATACTTCGTATTCATTTTGTGCTTACTTTCACAAATTTCTGGATTGATTCCTCGATTAGAAATCTGCAAATTCGTTGTTATGAGTATTGGATCTGATTCGAATCTTATAGTTAGAGCCATGTTCATGTTCGAATTTTGGGATATAACTGAAATTTTTCTTCGAATCGATTCGGATTTTTTCTCTGGATCTAAACCATTTCAGATCGCGGAATTGTGAAAATCGATCTAGAAACAGCTGAAAATTGCGATTGATCATAAGATCGACTTTGATTCATCTATAAAATCAGCTCTAATTTTGAAGATTGGATGATGCAGAGATCTGAATTGATCTGTTTAAACAAAAATGACTGCAACAAGCAAGACGGATCAAAAAGCTGCGTTAGACATTGCATCATGGCTATTCAATGTTGTTACTTCAGTTGGAATCATCCTCGTTAACAAAGCTTTAATGGCGACTTATGGTTTTAGTTTCGGTGAGTCTTTGGAAATTTTTTTTGTTTCTCATCTGAAAATAGTCAACTGTGGTTGACTTGTTTCAACAACACTAAACTGGTTTTTTAAGATCTGTTTATGATTCTGATGATATACAGCTACAACATTAACCGGTTTGCATTTCGGAACGACGACATTGTTGACAACGTTCTTGACATGGCTTGGTTATATTCAACCTTCTCAGCTTCCGTGGCCTGATCTTTTAAAATTCGTTTTGTTCGCAAATTTCTCGATCGTTGGGATGAACGTGAGTTTGATGTGGAATTCTGTCGGATTCTATCAGGTCAGCTCTTTCTCGATGAGGATTTCGTTTCTTTTTAGTGTAGTTTTTTGTTTCGGGAAATGTTGAAACGATTTTGTTGAAATTTGCAGATTGCGAAGCTGAGTATGATACCGGTTTCTTGTCTTCTAGAAGTTGTTCTTGACAATGTCAGGTATTCAAGAGATACAAAGCTTAGCATTTTGTTAGTTCTTGCTGGTGTTGCTGTCTGTACTGTAACCGATGTTAGTGTCAATCTCAACGGATTTCTCGCTGCCGCTATTGCTGTCTGGAGCACCGCGCTTCAGCAATACGTAAGTATACATATTAGATCATATGCCTGAAATTGAATCTATTGTCAAATTCGGAACAGATCATGGTCAAATTCATCATGTTTTTCTGATCCCGATCTACAGATCCATCTTTTAATTATCTAATTTAGCTTGTAAACCAAAATAGAAATCTGATTTCTACATTTTGCAGTATGTACATTATCTACAACGGAAATATTCGCTCGGTTCTTTCAATTTACTAGCCCATACTGCTCCAGTACAAGCTGCCTCGTTGTTGTTGGTCGGACCATTTCTAGACTACTGGTTCACTAACCAAAGAGTGGATGCATACAACTTTTCATTCGTGTCTCTGGTAAAGTTTCTCCTCTGTTTCTTTGTAAAGTCTTCTGTGATTCTAAAAATATCATATTCTCCACTCGATATTCAAAACCGCGTTTTTTCCCGAGATAAGGATTTAGAACATTGTAGTCATACAAGTTCGCAGTTATTCAATTTCAAGAACTGATAACTGACGATAACCAATTAGGCTCTTAACTGTTATACTATGTTATTAGATTTTGTCTATACTAAGCTCCATCTAACCCAACTTTTTGTGGGCAGTTCTTCTTAATACTCTCGTGCAGTATCGCGGTCGGGACTAATCTGAGCCAATTCATATGTATCGGAAGATTCACGGCGGTGTCTTTCCAAGTACTTGGTCACATGAAGACAATTCTTGTTTTGGTTTTGGGATTCACTTTCTTTGGTAAGGAAGGTTTAAACTTACAAGTAGTACTTGGAATGCTCATAGCGATCCTCGGTATGATCTGGTACGGTAATGCATCTTCTAAACCGGGCGGTAAAGAGCGTCGTAGCCTCTCAATTCCCATAACCAAGTCACAGAAACTCAGTTTATCTGAAACAAACGAATCTGGTGAAAAGGTCTAAAAGAAAGAAGTAATCGCATTGACATAGAAACAAAAAACAAGAAACTCAGATACAAAACAGGTAGAGAAGTATCAAATGGGATATTTATAAACAAACAAAAAAAAGTTTTAATTATTTAATTTCCGGAACTATATTTTTCTTTTCTTACAGAGCTTTTTTTGTTTACTGCATTTTGCATTTTTTTTTTTGCCTAATTCTCCCATAAAAGATTCCATACAACTGATAATAAAATTCTCGATTTTATTTTTACCATCAATTTTTGTCCTCTTTTAACTTATTATTGTCACCTGCAATATCCACTTTTGTAGGTTTTTTCTTTTGTAACGTGAATATTTATTCTTGGGTCCATTAGTTATTACTAAATCCTACTACTAGAAAGAAATACCTGCATTCAAAATGAACGGAATTATATAATGGGGTTCCTTGAATGCTTTACTATATCTTTTGCATTTATTGTTGAAGATATCATAGTGTTTACGTAATCTTACTAATTATTTAAAATGTCTAAATTCAAAGTACTTGGAAGAGAATTTATTCTACATCAAGCACATGGACTCACCCCCGTTAATCGCCGTGTTCTAAGGTTTTTCTTCTCTTGACGAATAGCCAAGGGGAATAAAACGGGGGTTGACACGTGTAAAGCTCACATTAAACAGGTAGTTGCGTGTGGAGATAAACCAAAACGGGAAAAAGTTCAGTGAAAACGGCCTGCCTACGTGTGCGTGTAGTGTTTAACGGGATCTCTCCTCGCACGTGCGTCTGTTATATGACGTTTGATTGTAGAAAAGACAGAATGTGTGACTTTTTTTTTTAGGGACAAAATAAATTTTCCCGTTATTGGAGAGAATTAATAAAACTGAGAATGTCTCTACAAATAAAGAAGAAAAAACAAACTAAATGAATTACAAATTTTTTAACAAATTAATAAGTTATGAAGCTCTTCTGATATTCATATGCCGCATAAGACTATACAACCAAATCACCTAATCTTTGTAATTGTACCCGAATTCATCATTACATATGTGTTTTAATTAGATTTTAATTTTAAAGGCGTTAAATTATCTTATTCTAAATGAATTCGGACTTATTATTCGCTAACCCAAAGTAGAGAATAAATATGTGTTGATTATATAAGGGTTTGGGACCCTAATATAATTTTCATACAATTTTCTAAACTTGCCTAACAATTAGGTGTAAGATATGTTTTTGCTGGAAACAGCTAGAAAAATAATTAAAATTTATTTGAAAGGACACACTCCATTGACCCAAACAAAAAAAAAAACTTTCAATATTTCCTAGTACAGAATGCAAGTATTAGTTTTTAAAAAATAAAAAATAAATAATGTAAGTATTAGTTTCTTCTTCG